ATTCAACTCCTTTTGTGAAACGTAGAAATAATAGATATGGCACTCTCACCTTACAGTACTCGTCTATGAAGAGTAGGTCACGTGGACGCTGGAAGGGAGGAACTTGTAGGGTCCTGCATAACCCGTCGAAGTCTTTGCCCTCAGCATCCAACTTGTGCACGCACACTCTCAAGAAAAAAGGGTGTCAAAAGGTGTATTCTTACACCCTTTGTCCCATATAATACACCCCCAAACTTCAATTCGACATACAGCGCCCTACAGTTGAACAGAGGGCCCGAAATTTTACGAAGGGCTTGATAGCCGTATGGTACAGCATTTTAAAAAGCTAAAGTACGTGTCGAAGACCACATAGAGAAAACACCGAGTTTTTACAGTAGGGCCAAGAAAACCCGGATTATTTTTTTCGTGTTCAGTAAAACGTACATTAGCTATTTTAATAAGTTGTACCACACGGCTATCAAGCCCCTCCTAAAATTTCGGGCCATCTGTTCGACCGTAGGGCGCTGTATGTCGAATTGAAATTTGGGGGTGTATTATATGGGACAAAGGGTGTAAGAATACACCTTTTGACACCCTTTTTTCTTGAGAGTGCACTCTAGCGCATCGTAGAGAGAGTTCCACCGCGTTGCTACGGGCCTTATTAATGCCTTCCCACAGAAGCGTCGGATGGTCTCGGCAGCAACCGCCGACTGTCCCTGCTTATTCCACAAGGCGCGGCATGTCCGCAAAACGGAGCGAAAAGGTCTCGAGAAGATTTCGTGACGCTCCGCTGCTCCGGTGTCGGTCGTAGCCACCAAATTTAGGGTGTGCGCAGCACATCTATGGTGAGGGGGGAGTCGGGCCTCTCCTTGGTCCACGTTTTCAAGCAGGGGTGCTACCTCCACGAACTCCAGGCCTTCATCGTCCTGCTCCGAAGGCTCTAGGTCGTCAGGCTGAACAGGCTCGCCAAACACCCTGTGTTATAAATGAAAAAAATAATAGTTACCCAAAAGAACAACCTGCGTTTACTTTTTGAACGTTTGAACCACGGCAACAAGCGGATACACTTTGCTGGTGGAATTTGAACGCTATATTGGATTCACAAAGTGGGTCTGCTTGTTGTCATGATCAGGTATATGCGTGGAATTGTTCTGATGTGCTAAGCAAGCGCTTTTGCAATTCTATCATTAATTTTGATCAATAAATAACAGGCCGCTATTACTGCATGCGGCAAATATTACCTGAAGGCTTTTACAAAATTGGATCCATTGTCGGTCACAACCTTGGTGACTTTTCCTTGAAGGCCGTACTCCTTGAAAACCTCCAGAAGAAGGTCTGCAATCTTGTGCGTGACGCTGCCCGTCATTCTTTGGCAGATCAGTACTGCAGAGTTCCTCTTCAGGGAAGCCGGCTCGAGCCAAGAAACTGTCGCTGCCAGATAGCACCTGCGAAAAAAAAAAAAAAAAATATTTTGTATAAACTGTACTGCGAAAACAAGAACCCGCCAGCTTAATCGCCAGTAGACAATACTGGTATTGTCTGAACATTAAGGTCATATTATGTCTCTTAAACTAGTTACGTATTTTAGCAGTATCAGCGCTTTTATATCACCGAATTTAAAAAAAAAAAAAAAAAAGTTTCCGCGACAGCTTACTTTTTTGGTTTTTTTTTTAAAGTGAGAATAATTGAATTGAATTTATTTCAGCCGCACTGTGCCGAGGACGCCGGACCAAAAGCTTTCATGAGGAGACTTTTATATTTAAATACAGAGACCAGCAAATACAAACCCACGCATATAGCTTTGAAACGAATATTCTGGATATGCGACAAGAACGTACAAGGAATACACGATGTTATCTTAAAGAGGCTTACCGTCGGAACGATGTCCAGCAGTCGGCGGTCACAGTGACGTAAGGAACCTCGTCGAAAGGTTTCCGCAGGCTTGTCTTCATCTCTTCGTACCTATCGTCGATTCTCGCCATCAGCATTCTCCGTGTTGGTACCGTGTTTTCAGGGGCCAAGGTATCCACAAGTTTAACGAAACTGGGAGCCTCGACGACAGAGAAAGGTTGCAGGGAATCTACAACAAAATTCACAATCAGGCTGTCCAGCTGCTTTTGAGGCACCCGCCCGCTTGCAAAGTTGAGGGTAAGTTGTTTCGGCGTGGACGTCGAAGCAGCTTCAGACAGCTTCCGTTTCCGCAAAGAGTTCCCAAAGTCAGCCAGATTCCCGGGGTGTTGACTCTAAAAGAACGATTGTGATTAATACATAAATTAAAAAAAAAAAAAACACACACATACTGCGGACATGCACGGCTAATAAAACATACCTTTACGTGCTTCCGCAGGTTCGAGTTCGTCACCATAGAACAAGACAGGAGCTTTTCTTTAGGCTTACAAAGTAAACACTGAAATGTGAGGTTGCCATCACCTCGCTTTTCCTTCAGCACAAGCAAGCTTGCCAGCTGCGGCCACGGAGACACGGCGTCACCGACCTCCCTAGCATGAGCCATCTCTGTGTAAAACACGACTGAAACATCGTGTTTTATAGCCGTAAAATTTCTAAGTTCCGAGCTATTCACCCGGGAACGCCTTCATCCCTCCTTGGTTGTAACAGAAGCGCTGCACTACTCATAATCTCGATCCACCCTTTCCGGATTCCCGTATTCAGGCTTTTTGGGTGTAATAATGCATGGGCGTGGTAGAGCGAGCTCGAATATTTCTTGAAGTGCGTGCTAAGGACGCTAGATCCTGTTAGTTCCACTGAGCTACGGTGACCTATATCTAGCTCCGGAGATATCGCTTTTGCGCTCTTTGTGGCTTATTGCTCTAAGTTAGTACAAAGGAGCAGCTTCTCCCCTTTTCTTCCGTGTGGCGCCTTTTCTTTCCTAGAGTTTCCCACTAAGATAATGATCCGGCAGCGGCTGTCACTTCTGCCAAAGGATATGAATTCTTAGAGCTCACATTTATAGTCACACTTTAGCATTTACATTACATGGCTTTGGTTATCTTGGAGGCAGAAGAGTGTAGAGGTGCTTTGACCAGGATTTAGAGTTATTTTTTTAATATATAAGAGGGGTGGACTGTATGAAGAGTTAATGGAGACAAACATTCTACATTAACCATCGAACTTCGTACTGAAAGGCTTTTGTCGAGAATCCGAACCTGACAGACCGAGCCGAAATCCAAGTTCCAACAAACCACTCTGCGAACTGTCCAAACAAAGAGCATGACCTCCTTTCGTAGGGCTCGACAACAATGCCTTTATTCTCTCGGATTCCAAAAGCTTAGAAGCTGATAAAGTGGAGACGTCTCGTGTCTCGAGTCGTGACTAGGTTGGCCGAGGGGTTGGGGGGGGGGGGGGGGGGGGGTTAGGAAAAAAGTAATGATTACAAGTAATTCCATTACTTTAAAAAGTAATCAAATTACTCTTGTGATTACTACAAAACAAAAGTAATCAAATGAATACAAAATTACTTCAAAAAGTAATCAATTACAAGTAATTTGATTACTTGTAATGAGTACCGTACAAGTCTGCTCTTACGTTGTGCCATCTTTCGGCAGCACATAAAACTAGACGAGCCCGGCCATGAAGTCGTCTGCGAATGCCGTGGCAGATAGCCCGAGACAGATCATTTGTTTATTATTTAGTTGTTTTTTTTTTTTTTTTTTGACAATGCAAGTTTATTTGTTCCTATTTTTGCTCTATGCTCCACCACCTAGCCGCACCCCTGTATCAAATCGCAGCGCGATACGATGAGAGACCAATTTTTGCGCACCGTCTAAGTTGGGTTAGAAGTGTTAGTTTACGTGCTGTGTAGGGAACTTGACAAGTTCACTGAAGTTCCGTTTATTGAAGTTCCCATATAAAATGCGCGTACACCGTGCTGTTAACAATACGAACATTATCTTACAGGCGCCATAGAAAATGTTTTTTTCGATTTATTGTTTGGAGGGGGGGGGGGGGTTAAAAAAAAGAGGGGGGGGGAGCACATCAGCGTATAAAAGCAGAATAAAGAGGAGGACGCCATTTTTCTTCCCGAAGAATATGATTCAGTCGTGTGTGTTTTTGTCGCTATTGCTCTGGTCAGCGGAGAAAAAAACAGACACCACCGAAGGACCGCAGGCCTCCTGAGTGCCACGTAGAACGGGCCCTTTATTCTCCTATTTTACTACCAGCTGGAAAAGTTTCCCAGCCTGTAGATGTCATGAAGTTCCACACCACAGTGCATCACAGCTATTGGCGACGTGTGCGGCCAAAAACGTCGCTGTGATCGGCCTTCCACGATTGGCCAAATGACGTCTTGAGTAGGATTACTTTCGCTCTCGTCGGCAGAAATAAGTGCAAAGTCAAACTCTCAACTTCGACAATGTTCATTGAAGAACGTGATGCCTAGGCTTCCACGGCACTTTTTACGCAACATCGAACTTGGCGCTTGCTTCTAATAATCTTGGTCGTGACGTCACTAATAGGAACCAAAAAAGGGCGCCACTGAATCACCTCGTCGCCATAGAGCTGTGTGCGCTAAAGTCACGTGTGCGCGACTGCTCACTGAGCGCGTGCTGACGGCGAGCTTCCACAGTTACTTTGCAACGTGCATTCTACACCATCAAGACTGCCGGTCTTAGCAGCCTACAAATGAGAGCTCGGTCTGAGCATGCGCTCTAAACAGTCCCTTCAATTATGGCGTCCAGTGAATAAACCCTGTAATCACCGACGAAATGAGAACGTCAAGACGTCTCTTTCGAATGCCCGCGGCCTCCTGCGTTCTCCCCACCGTGGTTCTCCCATGCATGGCTGCGCGTGCACCCTTGAAGTTTGAGTGGAAAGCGGGAAAAGTAGCATTCTTCCCTTCCGTTTTTATTCTCTCGGTGACTGTAGTTTTAGGAGACGGTACAACACTTTAAAGGAACCCTATTTTGGTTAGCGGTGCAACCAGTGTTGCAAATACCGACCGGGCTGTAACGTGTAAAAATCGTGACTAAAAAAAAGTTTATCGGCATGTTTTTTTGCGTTTTCAGCGCTGGAATGGTATACGATCTCGGCCAACGAAGCACTTGGAGGTCTTTTACCAGGTCGCTGTGGGACGCCCGCGACGCTTTTCCGACAACATCGCTGTCCCTGGGAACAACACTGCGTTTCGGTGAGTGCCCCCTTTTTTCTTCTTTTTTTTTGCCCGATAGCAAAGCACAATAAAGTAGCAAAGAGCATAAATAAAGAAATGACACGGAAGGGTACCACGGGTAACGAAAGTTTGCCCTATCAACTTGTCTATCACTGTATCCTGAATCTCTAGGCCTCTTGAGAAACTACACGGATTCTTTTGATCTGTCTGGAATTACATGCACAACATGCATACAGGCAGCACAGTGCAGTTTGGCCATCCGATAGAGGCGCAAGTGTTTCTGTTTTATTGACCGTCACAACGAACAAAGCTTGTTAGAAGCAGCAGCCACACTCTTTGTACATCACACCAAAAAAAAAAAAAAGCACGCGGTGTAGGTTGCTGACACGATGACAAAATTCTCTGCGCACACCCGTCGCACGTGTTGTGAGCATGTTTGCTTTACACGTGACATTGGTAGCCTGCGAGCTTGTCTGCTGCCAATTTTTGGTACGACCAACGTGCCAAGGCCGTGTCCTATACCAGGACTAAACAGGCTTCAGCAGACGAATCCCGGAGAAAAGCTCACCGGAGAAAAGCTCACCGGAGAAAAGCTCACCGCAAAACCGGCGGATGAGGAGAAAAGCTCACCGGCCATTGAGCGTATGCGGAGGAAGGCTCACTGATTTTTTTTTCTTCTTTTTATATGGAGGCTGTTGAAACCATGCGCAACATATATCAATTTATTATCATTAAAATTCGTCAGCTTTGTGAAAAAGAAAATGTCGTTTCTTGTATATTGCTCCCAAATTCGGTAGTATAAATAAAATAAATAAATAAAAAAAATAAATGCGGGCGAGTGTTTTCGGTGGCTTAAACCTGGTTCAGACAGTCGCGTTTGACTGCGTTTGAGTGCGTTGCTGCTGCGAGAAACCAGGACGTCCCTGCTGCTTATGTGGCTTGCCAAGATGATTCCTTGAATTGGCTTTCACGCTTCATACGAAGCACAGATTTGCCGGTGACTCGCTTTCGGTTCTCGACGCAACGCAGTCAAACAAAACTGTCTGAACGGGCCTTTACTCTCTAGGCAACGAAAGCCGAACTGAAAACTTTATGAACTTGAAGAACAGGAAAAAGTTCGTAAAGTAGTAATGTTTGCCAAAAACCTAAAAATCAAAACCGTAAATCTGAAAGTGATAGCGCAACAACGCGGTGCCTGAAATTCTCTTTGAAGCTTTTGTTAACCTTTGAAAACCAGATAAAACAGTCAATAAGATATTTGCTTCTTTCTTCCACGGACATGCGCGTTTTCTAGCCGTTCGTGCTGGTGTTTCCACGCGTTGCCTTTGCGTGATAGTGCCCTTCTACGGCCAGCCACCCATGACCTTCAGAGTAGGGTGCCTTCATGTGCGCTTCGCTACTTCAGAGCTGCACACTGGCACCACTGTTACTCGTGACCTACATAAGTAGTCTCCTGTAAGGTAGCGAGTAGGACGAGTCGTTAACCGTTTTACATCATAAAAACCGCTCAAACGACGACGACGGGGTGAATACAACAAACACGACAGGACGAAGCTGTTCTTGCAACGAAAGGTTTGTTAGTGAAATTAACAGAAAGAAAACAGCGTAGCCGACACTGATCACATTAACAAACATCTACTTATTTATTAGGCACTACACAATATTTGGAGCTGAAACGGTCCACACACCGCTATTCACATGAGCTCGCAAAGAACAAACCGCTTTATCTGACAGCTGCCGACAGCGCACTGTCAGCTGTCAACATATTGTTGTCTTTTTGACCGGTGTACGATGTTCTGATTTTATACTTCCGGCGTCATTAATATACAGAATGGGTGATTGCTGATTTCTGAGAAATTAGTAAACATGCCCAATGAACTTCAAGAATATTACAAAAAAAAAAAAAAAAATACATATTTTTAATGAAGTGACGAGTCCGAATTCTGTTAAATTGCCATGTTTGACGCAGAATCTGCTAAGTTAAAAAGATCGGTGAGCTTTTCTCTGTATCCGCTCAAAGGCCGGTGAGCTTTTGTCCGCATCTGCCGGTTTTGCGGCGAGCTTTTCTCCGGTGAGCTTGTCTCCGGTGAGCTTTTCTCCGGTGAGCTTTTCTCCGCCGCCCTCATCAGACTGTCTTTTGTATCATGCGCTAACAGGGTGAGCGGGACTTTAGTCATGCGCAGTGATATCTTCTTCGCTTGCCCCGCAGAGGAGCGAACGCGGGAGCATTTTTGTGGAACGCGTCGATGGACGCAGCCGTAAAGCGACGGGAACCGTGTCCCGAAATCATAATATTAATAAGGAAAACAAGAATCGGTGACCGGCGTCGTTTCGGCGAGGACCCAATCATGGCTGGAGGAGCGTCAGGAGGGCCAGACGCACTCACACACACCGGCCATCATCTATCAAACGGGACGAGGACATAAACCGAAACGAATCGCCATGCCCACTGCCGCGTCCTAATTGGGACATAATTCGGACGGTCGGCGCCAGTTTTTTTGTGTGTGTTGTTTTTCTCGGACGGCGGCGTCGCGATAACGAAGCGCGTATGTCCCGTTCCTTGTTTCGAAAGGGCTTTGGAGGTTCGCCGTCGTAAAACCGCGAACGCCAACAAAGTGCCACGCGACCGCGGGGACCCGCGTGTTTGCATGCAGCTGACGGACCGTGAGTTATACGCCCCACCATACACACTAAAGGGTCCCTCGTTTCCTCCCCCCCCCCCTTTTTTTTTTTGTATGGCATTACGTTTTTGTTTTTGTGTGCGTGTGGTGGTGTGGGAAGGTTCTGTTCTTTTCAGGTGCACAGGCTCGATTTGTGAGGCTCTCGTTGGGCCGTTCTCATCGAGGCTCGCATACGAATCAGGAAAACGAGAGTGACCTTTTTTCCGCTACGAAATTGCTCAGTATCTACGAGTATGTGCGCGGAGACGCCGCCATAGACGTCGTCGCGGGGGCATACACAGTACACTGCATAGTGTGTGCTAACGAATCGATATTGAATGCCATCTTTCAGCGTGTATTTTTAGTCATTCTATGCTTGGCGTATGTTGCGACATCGTACGGTTTAGCGGGGGACGCCTTCTCGAGCGACGACAAAGACGTACGCTCGCTCGTGACGTCACCACCGTGACATCGCGAGGCATTACGTCACATCGCGTGATCAAGTAACCCATAGTGGTACCAACCACGTGATCACGTGACACATAGTGGTACGGACCACGTGATTCTTGTATGTATATATTTTACGTATACGACGCTTTTGTCAGGTCTGACCGAAGTGCTGCTCACTTTTAAATGCGGTATTATGTCATTAAAATGGATACTGAACCAAGGAATTTAGTGCCCATAATAAGTTGCGCACGTTCTTTCCACGAGTCAGCAGCCGCCGGTGTGCGCGAGCACACGCAACAAAAATTACGTGAAAGACCTCCATTCGAGGTTAAGATGATAGTGAAATGTATGGGCTTCGGGTCAAAGGAGAATAAAGACAAGTTTTTCATCTACACAGTGGTGTCTGATGTAAAAGATAAGCGATTAATTGATCTAACAAGCACGTAGCTTTCACTTGTAGAGATGAAAAGCCTGTCTTTATTCTCTTTTGGCCCGAAAAGGAGGTTTTTGACGTCATTTTCGTTGCGAGTGCTTGCGCACACCGGCGGCTGCTGGCTCGTAGAAAGGACGTGCGCCACCTATTATGAACACAAAATTCTTTGGTTCAGTATCCCTCACGTGGTATCGCTTTAAGTGTACCCCCCCCCCCCCCCCCCCCTGAAAAATTCCAGTCGTCACATCGAAGCGCATGCACATGCGCAGGAGAGAGCGGTCACGTGCCGCCCTCTCTTATCGCGCGCATGCCGGGATCGTGGGAAAGTGAGGTGCATGTGCCATTCCCCTCTCCTAAGGATATCGCGTGCATGCGCGGGTCGCGGCACGAGGCGCTTCCAGGATGTTCCGCAGTTCTTCACATTGCCTCGCAAGAGGAAGAAACGGACTGGAGGGGACCTAGCTGAACGGCAGCGGCCACGCGTCGAGTATCACCGTGCTCGACGTACCAAAGTGTCGCTGGAGAAGACTGAGAACGACGTTTGACTAAAGATAGAGAAACGAGGCTGGCTCGTTTTGCTACGACGGAAGGTCGTGGGAAGTACCGCAAAACCGACAAAATAAAGTACCCCAAAAAGCAGGGCATTTATTTCCGGGCGTTTTCGTTGGCCGACGTCTTTATTCTCTAAATTTTTTTTTCTTTTTTGTCGCCTGTTGCTTAGTTTGTTAATCTATCCCTGCCCTGACCCGATTGATTAGGAGTGGTATCGAAATGTTATTAAACTAATTATAAATCAAATTTTTGCATTCCCTTTTTGTCGAATATTCTACAAACTCCAGATAAAACCCGCGAGTCTGCTTTCCCCCAGATCATTCGGAGAACTAATCGCTGCCATTAATATAGTTAGATCGCCAGCCAATGGCGAAGCGCCGATTCGCACATTTCCGTTTGGATGAAGCGAGTGCGTTGCCAATCGCTTATGAGCGCCTACAACGTTAGACCACACTGGCTCCATCTATCGGCTAACCCCAGAATATTTACCGTCTGCGTATAATTCCTCATTTATTTGCGCATTACTTTTTTGGGGGTTTGAAAAAATTCTGCGAACTTTAAATGCAGCCTTTTTGTTATGTATATTGGGTAGACTTGACCTCACACGCACGCTAAAAGAAGTCTCGTTGTACGAAGTTCGAAGGCCTCTTGATAGATGGCGCGAGCGTACCGGCGTGTTCTGTCGTCGTAGGCGGTTACGAGCGATCACAACGGACTCGGTTTCGCTCAAACGCAAATGTGTGAATCCGCTTTGACGCTCCCCATGGGAGGTTCTCAGCACTGTAAGCGGGAAAGCGCGTCCACAATCACACACCCCGAGGCCCGAGCACCGAACGCGATCGAAGCGAGCGGTTAGTTTTGGGAGGGGGGGGGGGGGGGGATGTTTGCGCCGTCAGTCTACGGCCCAGGTACTTTCGCCGGCG